ATCCCCAGTGTGGGGCGTGCAGGAGGCAGCGATCCATGGTTCTCTCTCGTCATTGATGCTTCTCTCTCTCTCTCCCTCTCCCTTCCTCTCTGAAATCAATAAAAACATTCTTTAAAAATGCACAGAAGAGCCCTGACCGGTTTGGCTCAGTGGAGAGAGCATAGGCTTGCAGACTGAAGGGTCCCTGGTTCGATTCCGGTCAAGGGCAAGTACCTTGGTTGCGGGCACATCCCCAGTAGGGGGTGTGCAGGAGGCAGCTGAATTGATGTTTCTAACTCTCTGTCCCTCTCCTTCTCCCTTCCTCTCTGTAAAAAATCAATAAAATATATTTTTTAAAAAATGCACAGAAGACTCTGAAGGCTTTTGCTCACGGGCAGGGAGGGGGCAGGGCGGACGAGTGGCCTCAGGTGGCCAGTGGGGAAGGGTCCCCGAGGAGCAGGCAGGCATGGGGACAGCCTGCAGGCAGAGGACACAGCACGTGCAAAGGCCCGGAGACGGGAAGTTGCTGATGGGCTGGAGGGAGAGGAGACAGGCCAGTGGGCTGGGGGGAGTGACGGGGACATTGGTGAGAGGAAGGGCAGGCCAGGCCATGTGGGACCACGGGCGGAGTTTATTTTTTATTTTATTAAATATATTTGTGTTGGTTTCTGAGAGGAAGGGAGAGGGAGGGGGAGAGAAACATCAGGGATGAGAGAGAATCATGGACCGGCTGCCTCCTGCACGCCCCGCACTGGGGATCGAGCCTGCAGCCCGGGCCTGTGCCCTGACGGGGAAGCAAACCTCCTGGTTCGTAGGGCGACGCTCTAACCACTTAGCACACTGGCCAGGCCTATGGGGTTCGACCTGGTGGGAGTGGGCACCAGCCCTGACCCAGGGCCCTGGGGACACGACAGCACCCCTCGCCTCTTGCTAAAGATTAACCCTCGGCTTCCAGCCGGCGGGCGCGCCCCCAGCGTTTATTAAATGTGCAATTCCTGACAGACTGTTTAGTCAGGGACACTGACCCCTTTCCCTTTGATTGTTAAAAAAATAAAGCCAACAGCCGCCCAGGGCGCGTGATTCACAACGAGACCTAGTGTTTTGGTCAGATCGGCAAAGCGTGTATTTCTCGGTGCCGCGGGTGTGCATGTGTGTGTGTGCCGTGTGCCATGCTTGTGCGTGCGCCGTGCGTGTGCCATGTGCCGTGTGTGTGTGTGTGTGTGTGTGTGTGTGTGTGTGTATGTGCGCGCGCCGGGAGAGGGAAAAAAAAAGTGTTCCTGGAACGCGGCCACGGCCGCCGAGGACGGCTCCTTGGGCAATAGTCCTTGTGACACAGATCCGCCCGCTGCCATCGTTGGGGCAGGCGGGTGGGGGTCTTGTCACCTCCCTGCCACCGGGGAGGAAGGGGCGACGTCCGCGTGGCCAGTCGGCAGCGGGAGGAGAGGCCGGGCCGGCGCGCTGACTAGAAAGGGACAGAGAACTCGTGCTTTCGGCTTTGCCGGCCCGGCTGGTGCTGTCTGAGCGGCTCGGCTCCGGGGTTGTCATCGTCAGTGGACGCCACATGCCCGGCCAGTGAGGCTCAGTGGCTGAGCGTCGACCTATGAACCAGGAGGTCAGGGTTCGACTCCCGGTCAGGGCACAGGCCCGGGTTGCGGGCTCCATCCCCAGTAGGGGGCGTGCAGGAGGCAGCCAGTCCATGATTCTCTCTCGTCATGGATGTTTCTAGCTCTCTCTCCGTCTCCCTTCCTCCCTGAAGTCAATAAAAACATATTTTAAAAAAGAACAGAAAAGTATGCTAAGAGCTAAAAAATGAACGTGGATGAAATTTTCATTCTTTTCCGTCACACGGTCGCCGAGCCACTGCCCGGCCGTACCCTGCATTTTGAAAACATTTACGCTTCACGATGAGTCACGAGAACATAGGCTAAGGAGTCCGTGCAGACCGCGCCCGATGCTTCCGGGCGATTCCGTGCGTGCAGAGCTCACGCGGCCGGTCGCCTGCA